AAGGGTCATGATCGCTGACACACATCAGCAGCCTCTCACTTCACTGCTTTACACTGACTCTCACACACTGCTCTCATCATCATGAATGTCATCTGCAGAAAGTAGCTCTTTAATCAGATTTGTCAGTGAGTCTGTCATTTTGATGCAGATGAGTCATGTAAATATATAAATACATAACTCTCAAAATAATCATAGCATCCTATGGTAAATGTGCAGTGAACAAACTTCAGCTGAGAAAACCTGAAGCAGAACATCTGCTTTCGTTAAATAGCCCACATGCACTCTGAGAGGACTGCAGCTGCGCTCACACCTGGATTTACTGATCATCAAGGTATGTATTCATGTCTTTCTTATTTCAGTGGTGTACAGTGACGATTACAGAGCAAGAGCTTCTCAAACATTATTGAATTTGTCTCAGTCGTTCACTTCCCCAAACAAACAGGCTAATGTAAATATAATCTTTCATTATATGTTAATGATAGAATTGAGGCTTTGAGCTTACATGTTTAAAATCATATAGTGAGCATTTATTAAACATGCAAGTCATTCCATGAGAGTGTGAACCGCTTTCAGCAGCATAACCGAGTTACACTGAGACGGAGCTGTTCTGCACTACAGCAGTTATAATAAATCACTCTCAGTTTGTAAAAGAAATGATTAGATGCATTAAAGTATGATTGTTCTATTTCTATTTTGCTTTAATAGTTATAATGCCAACTACAGAAAATGTGTACTTTTGAAAAACAGGACACAGATTTGTGATTTAATGCATGGTGATGAACAAACAGCATCTAGTCAGGAAGCTGATTTACATTCATGTCTTTCCAGTGCTCTGGCTGTTTCTCCTCTTTTTCATTTATTTTTTCCACTCCTGATATGTAGTTGAGCTTCCTGATGATGAAAAACCCTTTGAGCTTCATCTATCTCCTCAGTTTCACTCTCCTTTCCGTCTCGGGACACAAGAGGGCATCTTATAACTGTCTAACTGAGCCGTAACAGCTGCCTGAATCTTACAGCTTTTAGTTGCTTTGCTGGCGGTTCAGAGACCTAAACAACCATTTATATCTAGAAACAGCCTCGATGGAAACACCTCTCTTCACAATAACTGCCACTGCAAACTGATGATGGAACACAAACTGCATGTCGTGTAATGATGAAGTATGAACATATGATGTAATAGTCCTGCAGTATTATGATGCAGCTTCAGATTCAACACTGATTCCAAACTACAAGCCAAATCAAGCCAAACTACAGCAGCAGCTCCTACACAAGCTTCAACATCTCTCTCACACATCAGCAGTCTTTCTCACTTCACTGTTTAACACTTCTTGCCACAACTGATCCGACCACAAGAAGATCAGCCTGCTAATTCCATGAGTTCAGTGCTGAAACCGCAAAGGATTCGTAAATATTTGTGCATGTGAAATGTTTTCATACAAGGCTGTATATTTCAGATGCTGTCAGTACAAAGATATTGTACATTTCAGTGTTTATGCAAACTTTGAAGCACACTTTACATATGCATATGTGTGAATAATAATGAGATCACATTGGACAGAAATATTTATTTTTGGTAAACGACAATCATCGTTTTTCTCCTGACCCTTTGAGATTGAAATAACATGACAATCGATGATGGACTCATGAAGCAGTGGAAGTTCATTTATCATTTCTGTGATGTATATGTGTTTATATGTTCATTATGTTTGAACGGAACTAACAGACATGATCACAGATCCAGCAGAAACTGAAGTCAGGATAACTTTTGCTGAGACATTTCTTACAAATCAAGTCTGTTTGAGTATAAAGATATTTTCTCACACTTTTAATACAATATAAGACTACAGTAAACACTATACAGGCAAAGTCTGACTCTCATCTAATTCTGGCCAAGGCCCGCCCATCCAGACACAAAGGACCAATGGGAGCAACATTCAATGAGCAGCCACTATATATATATATATATTCAACTCTGTGCTGTCTGAACGTGAGAATATAGTAACACTGTAACTGTGACACTGAAACACAAACAGACTCGTGAAAATATTCTTCCAGAAGTTTGTTTGTGTTGATTCATTTCTTTGGGCTCTTGAAAGCAGATTCCCCTTCAGTCATCGATCTAATTACTAATAATTTTACTGCTTTGAGCCCTAAGAAGCCCTCAGATATTTAGTTACAGAAAGAAGAGGAAGTGACATCAGAATGATTCAGATTCACACCAATCAGGCTAAACTGGGCTCAGAGATGAGCTCGGCTCTACTGCGGTCAAACTGAGTTCTGAGTAACATGAGTAACGTGTTTCCAAACCACAACAGTGAGATCACAGCTCTGAAACACTGCAGCTGCTGTAATTAACACACTATTTTAGTTATGAGAGTGTAGAATGGCTGCTCTGAATAGACATCACCGTAAAACTTCATATGGAATATGATGATTCCAAAATCACTATTATCATAATCATTTGCAGAAACACAGCAAATAAATGACCTTCATATGCTCACTCATGGAAGTGTGGAGACAGTAGTGAGCGCTTTGTTGTGAGAGTCTTGAGTATTGTGAGAAGTTTGTCTGATGTTGCTGTTCTGGACTCTTAAAGACATCACTGAGTGGCATGTTTGTCTTTATGCTCATAATGACAAGCCAAAGCATTTATAAAATATAGCCTTTTACGACCATTTCCAAAGTAGCCGTCTTGTAAAGCATCTCTGAAGATATAAACAGCTCAGTCTGTGTCACAGCACACAAATCCAGCTCACCGTGAATCATCAGCCGTCAGAGACTCGTGCTGCTGTGAAATCCACCAGCCGAAGGGAGAATGTGCTGGAGTTTGTGGTGTTAATAAAGGACTCTGGATCTGATGTGTTTTCTCAGCGCTGGAGAGAGAAAAGCAGCATGTTATGATCCATGAGCAGAAACACTTTACAGACGCTTGTGTAGTGTGTGCAAAGACTCTTTTTTCAGCAAGCAGGAATTGATGTTAATAATTTCAAAACACTTTAAAAACTGTTTTAGAATTAATTTCCTACAAGAGAGTCATGTATAGTGGAAAATAATAATGTAATGATTTTATTTCTAGAATGTAATGGCATGCAGGAAACTGCTAAACTAACAGTAAAGTAAAGAATAGCCTATAGATTGTGTTCAGAGCAAATGTGGTTAACACTATGCAGTTCACACACTGAAGAACATGTTTCACACAATGTGAAGAAACACTTCTCCTTTATGACTGGCATCGGGTCACTATTATAGCAACTTTAGCATGATTTAAACACTCAGTCGGTCAGATTAGAGGAAGTGAAGAAACACAGGAGGAGCTGATAGTATTTAAAGAAAGAGTTGAGATCATATAATGAAGAGGAAGACTGAGAGATAGAGAAAATGTCTGATGAGTGTCATCTGTGTCTGCTGGGACTGATCGTTCTCTCTTCACTTCTCACAGGTAAAGAAATCTGTGTTTTCTCTACAAGACATTCAGTGGAATTAGTCTGAGAAAGAGTTCATTTGAACACGATCAGTTTATGCTTGTGTTTCACACAGAACATACTGGATTATTCCTGAACGCACTAAAACTAGACAGTTCATATTGAGAGTGTGTTTGTGATTCGAACAGCTCTCTGATGAAGAACAATAGTTTATTCTGGAGAGTGTGCTGTTTGCATTAATTGAGGAAAAAAGACTGATTTGAATCTTCTGCTTTTTATGTTGGTATGTTTTATGTTTGCATTTATTAATATATAACATAATGATCAGATGTTCTTGTGTTTCAGGTTCCAGTGGAGTGGATGATGCTCATGTGTTCATCAGTTCTGGTGAAGATGTCCATCTGTCCTGTAATAATGCTCTTCCAGACTGTAACTCAACTACATGGAACTATAACAGATTCAGACATTCAGCAACAGATGAACTGATTGCTTTAGGGAAAAAGAAGAACAACACAGAGAGACATGAGAGACTGAGTCTGGGGCCTGACTGCTCTCTGAACATCAACAACATCTCAACAGAAGATTATGGATATTACACCTGCAGACAATATGTGAATGACAAACAACAAGGAACTGATGCTCGTGTTTTTCTGCATATTCTTCATGGTATTTTTATGATTATGTGGTCAATTTAAAAAGTTAAATTCTTCATTTAATCTCCCATGATGATTGAAGAGTCTGTAATTTGTGTGTTATTTTGTGTTTCAGTCTCTTCATCCTCCTCCTCATCCTCACAGACTGAGATCAGTGCAGGCCGCTCTGTGACTCTCTTCTGTCAGTTGTATTCATTTGCTGAAGGCTCTTGTGATGATTGGATCAGTTCTGAGATAATTGAGCTGTTCTGGGTGAATCAGGCTGGTGTTAAACTGACGAGATCAGACTCCAGATATCAGATATTATCCTCATCAGATCACTGTATCATCACTCTGACTACAACACTCCTGAATGAAGATCACAACAGAGAGTGGAGATGTGAAGTTACTCAGAGAGATCAAGTCAAGACCTCAGCCACATACACTGTCAAGAGTTCAGGTGAGAAAGAGAGAGATCTTATTAATCAGTTTTAGACCGTTATAATGTCAGTAACACTAAAGTCTGTTAATATCACTGAAGAAGAACACACTGAGGTACAAAAGCTTCTTTCAGTCTTACAGAAGAAACTCAAAGCACTGCTGCAAACTAATGAACTGCAGTCAAGTTTAACAGTCCAAAAACTGCTGCTGGGAATAATGAAGAGATTGAAACTTGACAGCAAGTTATTATGTAATGTGATGATCAAAGTTAAATTGTGATGGTCATATTCTACTGCAGGGGCTATAACAGTGATTCAGGCTAAAGTTACTGTGGCTGTGAGTGTTGAACAGGTTTTTTTTGTTTTTTTGGTGCAAACGGTATCTATTGTATTTGCAGTGTGCCGTATTTTTCGGAAAATAAGTCAAACCAGGTCAAACTTGTATTGTTGAGAGAAACACACACACACACACAGACAGAAGTCGCATCGGTATATAAGTCACATTTTATTATTACATTCAGAAATAATGCAAAATACTGGTAAATAAAGCGAAACTTTAACAAACATTATCAGCACTAGACATGTATTGTCTAGTGTAAAAGCGAAACTGAAACTGCTCACGAACATCTCATCATTCGGCATGAATCGTTTTCATGATTGAATCGTTATTCTAGATGAACATTGGGTTTCTAAGCTATTTTTTATGATGTAAAGAAGCTTTGTACTTCTCTTGTGTCCCAATGTCAAATTAAAACAGCATCCTACACATGCGTAAAATATGTGTTTGGAAAAAGAGCACGAATGCTCACGCTGACCAGCACGGGCTACTGAACAGAATTAAACAGAGTAACTGAATCACTTCTCTATATGTTTAGTTTAGTTTAATGATGAAGAGGCTTCCATGTCAAGACATTCAAAATGGCAAAGGGTTTATTTTTATTGGTGTACCTTCAAAAATAACAGTAAAATGCCCTGCTTTTGTAAAATAAAGAAAACAAACAAAATATGCTTGCCACAAACTTCTTCCTGAAGCGTGTCCCAAAAATAAACCGAAATTCATGTTTTATAGCTCAAGCTGAAACAGTGACAGCAGTGATTCCAGTCCACATCACAAACTCTCAGGATCCCTCAACTACAACATCATCATAAACTTCTAAAGATCAAGGTTCTACTGATTTTAAGCCATTGATGATGCTTTTATTTTGACTCTAATAGTCATCAATCCCTGACTATGTTGATCTCTTCTTCAGTCACAGTGATTTCTGTGTCTGCCGCTGCATTCGCTGTTGTCCTTGCTGTCCTCTGGCTGATCTGGAGAAAAAGAGCTGGTGAGTTTTCAGATTTCCTCCTTTCTAAAAATTTAAAACCGTTTAGATCTCACTTTGATGAAGAGCAAACAAGCACATCAAGTTGATATTGTATGTATCAAGCATGTGGATTATGTGACTATGAGATTCTCAAACAGAAGTGTATTCCTGTAATGTCAATCTCAAAATGTGTTTAAAGAATAATCATTTCTATCATTCAATTGAATGGTCTTGAAATCGGAATATCATTAGCATTGTAAACATTCAGTATTTTGCATGTTTCATCATAAATACTCATATGAGGCAGGTTTTTTGTTTTTTTCAAATAATAAAAGATGGACTGATGGATCGTCGGTGAGTTCAGTAATGCCAGTGATTTATATTTGATTTCTGTCTTCACAGCTCAATAAAGTGCAGTTTTAACTGTTTGTTGTCTGAAGGTCAAAGATGAGAATGAAGATAAAGGTACATATGAGACGATCAACATGTCCACTCCTGCTGCTGCGAGAGACCATGTGAGTCAAATAGACCATTAGACATTCAGTTCACTGTCTGTTCTATAATGTGATTTACTGAAAGCGGTCATATTACTGTACGTATTACAGTGAGAGATACTGTATGTCTGATCTGTGAATTAAACTTGAATCGCTGCACGTTTGCATGTATGTTTAGGAGCGACAGATGATGTGACTTACTCTGAAGTCTCTTCTTCCAGTAAAAAGCCCGTAAAATCGCTCGGTGTGAGTAGACAGCAGCACATTCCCTTGTTCTTCATCACTGACTGCTTCAGAGAAGCTTTGTTTATCTATATGCTGCTGAAATGTAGTTCTGAATCTGAGTGTCAGTTAAATAAAGCTCATGTGCTAATAGTAATAATGGCATTGATGGAGAAAATCTGTGCTGTTCTTTCAGGATCATAATGACACAGTGACTTACGTTGCCATCAGATGAACAGAAATCGAGCCACAGGATGAACTTTACAAGAACAAGAGCTTCAGAAATAGAGTATAAAATAAATAATTACACTCCACTCTATCAAATGCTTTTTCAGCGTCCATCGAAATCAAAGCTTCCTCAGTTATAACCTGAGAAGGATTGTAAATTATATTAAAAAGCTGCCTGAGATTGGAGAATAAGTGACGATTTCGGATAAAACCTGTTTGGTCTAATGAAATTATAGTTGGAAGAACATGTTCAAGTCTTAAAGCCAGTAATTTTGATAACAGTTCGATAAAATTGATAAAGCCCTCATTAGAAAGTAACCTTTTATTAAACTGCCATGGAGTACGTAACTTAATTAAACTATCAAAATGGATTTTCAAACAAACTGGGGCATGATCAGAA